AGCAACCACTGGACTGTCGGCTTCAAGTTCTGCTCGACGCTGCATCCAAGGATTGCAGGGAAAGCAGCCAAGGCTTTTGCAATCTGACTTTTGCTCAGGCCTAGCTGGGATAGCCATTGCAACTTTGGTTTCAGATTGCGATCAATGCTTTGCCCAACTGACAACTGCCTTTCAAACATCATGCTAATATGGATCGCAGTAAAGCCCTGGCCATGCAAAAACAAGGAGATCTCCTCTTTTGTGTTCCGGCCTTTTGCTTTCACAGCAGCATCAACAATGCTTTTTGAGTCGACTGCTAGATGCAGTGCATCCTTTCCTCGCTGACATCGCAGCTTTTTCAACATGTCCTGGTTCAAATCCTTCCGAAGGCCATCCACTGTCTTGGCCAAGAGATGGCTAAAGGTGACAAGAAATGCTTTCTGATCACCTTGACGCCAAGGATCTACACAAAACCACAGAATGTTGGCATCACAGCTGACCAGTTTGCGATCGGTGTGGCTGATGCGAATCACTTTGGAACCTGGAGGGGCAAAGGCCAACAAAGCCGCATTCTTCAACTGGTCCGTCTCAAAGCCTGACTTTTCCGCATGCCGCCAGTAGCCATCATATTCTACAAACAACGCTGCTTCTGGGTCCTTTAGTACTCCATGAGCTGCCAAATCTGGCTCCAAATAGTTTCCAGCCCACCCTGATGGTGATGGGAAGCTCCGGAAAAGCTCTAAGGGCGGGGTGTGAGGCATAAGCAGCTCTGCTAAAGGTGCCAACAACTCGGCTTCTGCCACGCTGCCAGCACGTTGCCGAGACCATCCCTGCTGCCACCACGTGGGGGGCACGGTGGTGAGCTGCCTTGAGAACCCGTGCTGCAAACATCGCGCTACAGCTCTCATGAAGTCAAAAAAAGAGACCTTATGGTTCTAGAGCGGAGCCATTCTTCATTTCATATCTTGCATAGGTTTCCCTGTATACTAGAACTTGTGGACATTCTACATCTCAAAGCTAGACTCCAACATGTCATGCAAAACCATTCCATGATATTCCATGTGATACGATGAGAATGAGAATAGCCCTTCTCTATCCTGAAAAAGGAGGTTCACATCAAACACATGTGCTGTGCTGTAATGAAGTTGGTGGTGCCGTACGAGCAATTCGCTCTGAACACAAGCTGCAGCAGCGGCAAATAGCAAACTAACATATGGTGACCAACCAGTTTTGGATTCTGGATACATAAGTTCTAAGATTCAGTGGCCTAGATCTAAAGAAATCCCTTGAAACAGGTAGTACTTGGTGAAACGTCTGCACTTAGTGCAGGCTTGCTTCCCCGATGTCTTTGACCCGACTCAAGACCAATCGGCCGCAATCGGTTTCGCGCACCATGGTCAAGTAGCCACCCAAAGCAGCAGGTCTAAGGACCGGTTGGTTCATGCAACACGCAGGAAGGCATTTCCGAGCAGTGTGATGTCTCTGTACGACTTGGTATGACCAATGCAGCCATTCAGCTCTCTTTGCGGATCTGACACGTTCATCATGACTCCTTCCAGAAAATGCCACCAGGAACTCAGGAACATCACAAAACCTCGCTACATCTCAATACTGTCTGTTGAACCAACATGTACCTGGAGAAGGTGGCACCTTTGTATGGCAATCGCAGGATTCACCGTCGAACATGTTTGGTCCGCATAGTAGACGCCCTCGGGAAATAGTCCTCTCGGAGAGTGAACTTTGTGTCCAAAGAGCAGTATCCGCGCTCCTCCCACCAGTTGTATCCAGTTATGGCATTCCCTGGGTCTCCAACTACCTCCTGAGAAGGTGGTTGAGATGGGTTTGAGAGGTCTAAAGGATAGGGTTGGAGTCCTCGGGCATTGTAGCATATTTCCTGTCTAAATCAACCGGGAACACAACGTTGGCTTAGGGGATAGCCGTCTCTAGACCCTCCAGTACCAAACGGCTGTCTAAAGTGGTAAAAAAAAGCATCTAGACTATGTGGGAGCCTTACACGTGCCCATCCTGACTACTTGTCCTACTTGACACCACACCAAAACAAGTGTCCAAAATCAACTTGCCAAAACTTGGTTCCAAGACCGCTTCCAGGTACTCCAAAGTTGGGACGTTTTGTACTTACCTTCCTTAAAATTGACATTGACAGGCGCGATCTTCTTACCCCCAGGCTGTCCCGTATTCGCCCAAGCCCAAGGCTTGACTACCCACGAGGCGCATTGGTGGCGCATCCCCCGAAATATAACTCGAAATATAACTCGAAATTCATGCCTCCTCCCGATCGTATGACATGATGTCTTTCATTGGGAAGAGGACCCCCCTCAAAAAAAATGACCGGGTCGGAATGGCCTATGTCATCCTATGTCATCCTATGTCATGAGTGCTTGCCACTGAAATTGTAGGTTTCACACCTGGTGGTGGCGATAAATCTGTTGCATGCCTCCTATAGCCGCGTCCCATCTACCAGGCGCCTATGCCTTGGTTTTTTCCGTTTCTTGTTGGCTGGGATGGCGGAGCGACCGGAGGCATTGACCCCACCAAGCAAACCCATACGGTGTCATCTTTCGTTGTTTGGGTGGTTAATACTGTTCAGTGGGACACTTAAGGATTCCAACCGCGGTCTCCAAACCCATCGCCACGCTTGACCCTTCATGGGTTTAAAGAACTGGACTCTATGACCTTTTCGGGTTCTCCTTCATTCACCACGCCTTCTGTGCTGATTGATGTTTCCTTCGGTGACGGGTCACCGGGTGCCATCCATTTCGCTCCAAGCTGCGGGTCACCGCACCCTCCACGCGCTCCAGCAGCTCCGTGCCCTCGCGGTCACCCAGCGACCTGGGAGTCGACACGACACGGACGTGGAACAGCTGGAAACCTGGCTGGCAGGAGCCCTAGGAGCTTCTTGTTGCTACTAGTAAGGCACTTGTTACTACTAGCGTGGCACTTGTTACTAATAGCTTCTTGTTACTACTAGTAAGGCACTTGTTACTAGAAGCGATGCACTTGTTCCTAGTAGTAAGGCCACCAACCCCGTTCGTAGCTTCTTGTTCCGTTCGTAGCGTTGGCCTGTGCTGAAAACAGTCCTCACTGTGCTGCATTTCCATCCCATGAAGCAGTCGAAAGGAAAGAACAGCTGCAGTTGGTGTCACTGCTTAACCATGCGAATAATGAGGATTTCCTGCCACCCCTTCCACTGCAATCCACTGCGACCACTTTTTTCACACATCAGTCTGCCACAGGTGCAGGATGCGCGGGTGTTGATGTGCCTGGCACTGGTCAGGGATTGACAGAAACTGTTCCCACTATTGTATTCGCAATCATTGGATGTTTTCCTGGCTACAGAACAAGCAGCAAACTATGTTGCTGATGTTCCTGCACTTTCTGTGCCACCCAAAAGACCTATGTCTCTTTCATAGGAAGGCTCTGTGCTGCTGTATGGTCTTCCTTGATTCAATACCCTAACTACGAGCTCTGGCCAAAACCCTGGAGTATACTGGAGGAAGAATAATAGCAATATATCTTTGTGGGATTCTTGGTACTGGATGACATGGTTGGCATGCAAAAGAAACGTGCAAAGAAACATCTAGGCGATCCCAACAGTGGAGCCTAGGCTCACCACCGAACCCTTGGTAGAAAGGTTCTTTCACCCCCCCAAAACCAGCGAAGGTCCGTGCGTTGGACAACAAAGAACCAGTGAAGCTCAACGTGGACGGCGGACCAACGACCGGACCAACGAGTCAGACCCGGACCATCGACCACTGCCCGTTGGATCTGTGCCACGCTGGGGTGGTTCTTCTGCCCGTTGGATCGGTGCCGATCGCCCGCAGGGAGAAAGAATGCTCCTACAGTAGTAGTATGGCCAGGAGCCCTGCTCGTAGCGTCCGATCGCTCCGTTCGTAGCGATGCACTTTGTTACTAGTAGCGGTTCAGTTGAGGGAGAGATCTCCGACGTCAACGACTCCACTCCACGCTGAGCACGACGTGTGTTTGTTCGAGTCTACGCGGTTTTTTTCGCATTTGTTCTGAGGCCTAGGTAGGCTGCGCTGGTCCTGAGCAGCAGAAGGCGCTGTTCACGTGTGACGTGGCCGGTTTTGGTGGCCCAGGCCGATCCGCAAAAAGCAATCCCAGACGCTCCGCCCCCAAACCATCCCAATGTAGGCATATATGGCAGTCCCATGGAGTGTTTGGGAATGGTTGTTTGATGTTCTTTGGGATTCATGCTGTTTGATGCAGCAGGTGGGGGAATCCTAGGTCTGAATGACCAGGTGGGCCGGCTTCACCGGACCTCGGGCGATTGGGAGACCGGTGACTGGGGCCCTGCAGCTGGGCCCTTGGTGCCGCATCTCTCCGAGGGTCGAACCGCAGACGAAGAGGTCGAACCGTGGCCACTCGTCCCAAAGTCACATGCTGATTTGGGGAGACATCCTTCCAAAAGCAAGCAGAAGACATGAAGCCACTCACTTAAACAACATGTTCGGTTTTTTTGGGACCTGAAAGCCAAAACCGAAACCAAGGCAGAAATCCTCCCAAACCAAGGCGCCCAGAATCTCCTCCATCGTGAGGTCCACTTTCATCCGTTTCCGCAGCGCTTCCCTCCTCGCTCTGGCAGATTTGGGGCACGGGGCGTTCGTCCAGAACCGAAGTGTTTCTGACGATCTCCCGATAGCTGACCTTCACATAGTGAAGATTTGAAGCCTTTTGCATCGCCTAGTTGACAGATTATAGAGACCCCCGACAGAGAGAGAGAGAGACTTCTGGGAGAAGTCCTGCAGTCTCCAAGAAACTCCGGAGGCTGAATTTCAAGGACCAGGTCAGGTCTTTTCTTCGAATGAAAAACAGCGGTTATCATGAGAGACTCTTGAGTCCATCTATGTGATTCTATGTGTGCCATCTACGGCGCGTTGATTTCAGGAACGGTTTTGGGAGTTTTACTAATGCACATACGAAAACAATTTGGAGTAGAACTTTTTTGGCTTTGTGTAGGGACTTCTGGGTTCCGCATGCCATCAACAAAGTGAAGGCTTCTCCTCCCGTCTTTTTTCACCGGAACCCCAAACTCCCCTCCTTCGACGTTCAGCATCGCGCTCGTCTCTGGCACGCTTTCGCTTCAAAGCTTCCTCTTCTTTCCTGCACCTTTGGTTCAAGGCTTCCAAACGCTGCCGTTTCAGCTGCTCCTTCTTCTGCTGCTGCAAGAGCTTTCGGCGCTCGAGCTGCGTCTTACGCTCTTGTTGGATTAATGCCTTTCGCCACCGGAGAAGAAGTCTTCTGACCACAGGCAGCCTGTCAACGGCCTTGCAAAGGACTTGTGTCTTCTTTCCAGCCCCAGGACCAGCCCTACGTCTCGAACGGTGATTCTCCTTATCATGCATCTGCATATTCTTTTGCTCCCAAAACTGCACGTGTCGAGCGCGCCTGTCAGTATGCGCGTCATACGCTGCACGCAGTCTCCGCAAGGCGTTTGCACGGCGGCCTTCTGTGGTGCTTTCATACATCTCCTTCATGGCATCTTGAATGCGAAGCCATAAATCTTCAAGCTCAACAAGGCCGTAGTGCCAAATGATGCTTCCCCTAAGACCTGGCCTGGTCACACACTGGCGCATGGGTGCCATGAGAGTGCGCAACTTCGCAATTTCCGCGACCGACCGAACGGTCGGGGAGAAGATCGGGATTTTTGGCCCCATGAAAAAGCTGATGCATTGTTGAAAATCAAACTGGGGGCTGAGGTCTGTGTAGCTCCTGCCAGCGTTTCTCAAAATGACCATGAAGCAAGCCTGCAACGATGTGTTACAGATTGTTTGCGACTGTTAGCATCATCAATCCACACAAGTGTATGCAACAATAATTATGCTTTTGTGACCACACAATGGGACATTTGCCCAAACATGATTTCTTTATCCCAGTGCCTGCCATGCTCAGCTAGAGATTGCTCCAATGCTTCTTCAAGCCGACTTCTGAACAAGGCTTCCGAATCCTTTGAGGCACCTTGCATTCTCTGCTTCACTGATATCAAGATGATCAAGAACTCAATGGCGGTCGGCAAATCGCAGTCCCTCGAAGAAATATGCAGTGTATCAATGGTCACCTTGCTCCTGTAACTGAATCGATGTCTAGATGATATTCCCTGCATTTCTGTGGCACGTTTCTTCTGATGAGTCTTTCTCCGAAACCTCTCCCGCTCAGGCTGTGCAATCAACTTACCTTTTGTCTGCGCAGGAATCAAGCTCAAAGTGCTGGAAGTTGCATCGCAGGTTTCTTCTTGTACCACTTCTGATCCTCTGTGGAGTGTGGCAGCTTGCGAATCTGAAGCATCTTTTTCGGACACCAGCATGGTGGAAGCAGCTTGTGAATCTGACGTCTCCCCAGCTGGGGTCTCTGTCTCCGCATCATGCTGATTCTGCATCCACTTCTCAAGAAGCACCCGCTGCTGCTGCGTGAACTCTTTCTGGATGACATCGTTGCGAACCTCTCGCGTTAGGCCTTTCAAAAGCTTACAAAGCTTGGTCAAGAGTTTGTCATGCGAAAACACCTTCGATGCACTTGCGGATTGCTTCGAAGTGCCTGACGTCTGACTCGTGTGCTCTGGCTTCGGGGTTGGCTTTGTGCGTTCTTTCTGCTCGGAAGGCTGTGCCCGCTTTGTTTTGGACTTCTTGGGCTTTGCCTTCTGCTTTGGCAACAGCTTGGTCGGTCGCTGATCGTCATAGCGCTTCCGGGCTTCTGGGTCTGCCAAGGTCTCAAAGGCTAGGTAGACCAAATGAAAGGCCTCCTTGCTCCCACCTCTTCACAGGGTTTTCTCTTCAGGTTCACACGAAAACCAACTCAGCCACTAGATCTCTTGCATGGTACTCCTAATGCTTCTGACCAGCACATGACGCTTCAGCCCTGCTAGTGCTAGACCACCATGCTCAATACATGAGAGACCATGAGAGTGGATGCTTCAGATGCACGCTTCTGCCGCAACCGCGGCTGCTTAGACCACCCTTTCGCCCACCAAAAAAACCAACGGCTGCACCTTTGTCCGGATGGACCTGCAGGACACGTCGCTTGAAGGCCAATTTGATCTCCTCCGCCGTGGCGTCGGCTGTCACACCCAGCAGCCCATAGAAGGACCCCATCGCAAAGGCGGTCGACCCCGGACCGCGACCCCGGAGCGTGAAAAGGCTGGTCTGAGGCCTTGGTTAGGAACGGGAAAGCGGAAGAACCCCCCCCCACATTGAAGGGAACAACATGGAACAACTCTGGGGATGTCTATGTGGTTCTTTTAAACATCCTCTATAAGATTCCGTTTGGCAGAAGGAACTTTGGCGGACTCCTTGCAATAGTGCTGCGCTTGAGCCTTTTTGCCAGTCGACGCATCGACCCATCCGTCGACCTCGCGAGACGGACGCCAGTCGACGGACCGAATCGAAGGTGGAAGGAGCGGACCGACGATGTTCAGAAGAACGGATGACTCTCGAAGTCTCATGTCTTTTCAGTGAGACGATTCGGAGATCAAACACTTCTTGTAGCCTCCGTCTCCAAAATCTCAGCTAAACACTTCTCTCTATCCGCCGATCAAGGCCTTATGCAGGACAGAAAGTCATTGATCCCTTCAGTTTTGGATCTCTTTTTGGAGCATCATCCAAAGAACACTTCGTGAAAGTAGAGGAAACGATGCCAAACCTGAAGAAAACAGAACCACTGTATCACAAACCTCGGGTGCTGCTAAAGTCCGCCAAACAGGGACCTTTTCTGGAACTGTTGCACCACTTGCTCCTGTCGGATCAGCGAGATGTACCATGTTTTGGACGACAGCGTTGAAGAGTCGCTTCTTTAGGAGCGGCCATCGCGATGTTGGT